AAGTGTTAACGAGCAGTTGGACAGGTGTACCTAATAAAGTGGCCGGTGAGTGTATATATACTTCATATATAATTATATATTATATTCATATATATAAACATTTATATTTCACATGATAATAATTTTACATCCATTAGATTGTGTTTTTGATTATGAGTTCAGATTTGTTCAAATATTTTCATTACTGTAGTAAATAAATGCCAACACAAATAAATTAAAGTTATTCAATCAGACTTTTAACAAACCTTAATAGATTTTAATATAGAGTCTCCTGTTTATGTTGCTTTGTTATATATCGTCTCTGACTCTGAGTACATGTGCTGAAGAGATTGGGTCGAAATGTTTTAGAAAACTCTTAAATATTATGAAAAAAAAGTGGTAACACCACTGACAAAAAAATCTGACAAAAAATCTGTTAATGTGGTCTTCAGATAAATTTAATTGAGCTTTTATTAAAAATGTGTTTCATAAAGTCATTGACTTATGTATTGTAGTTTAAATCTTAGATTAAATGATAGAAAGATGAAAAAATAAGACTGCTTGTCTCTCCAAAAGTAGATTACACTAAACCAAACAAAGAAATAGATTTAGCATTTATTTGCTGCTACATTCTGTCCGCTATCCTTTTTTGTGTGCATTGACAGAAAGTGATTAATGAAGTGATTCCCAGAATATTAAATGTGTAGCAGGCCATCTACGCACAGCCAATATTACATTCTGTGCATGTGATATGAACATGAAAATGCACCCATGTGAATGTTATCTGATGCAGGTGCGGCTCTAGAAGGCGGACCAGGGCCACGCCAAGGTATTCAGTGGCCAGCCGTATGGCCACCCCAACCAGGTGATTTGTTCTTCCCATTGAAACATGCTTTCCAACCTCCAGAACAAGCAGTTCACTTATAAAACAGAGGGTGGCAGCAGTCCCATTCTCATTCTCATTTTTTTTAAGTTGTTAGCATATAAAGAATAAACTGTCAACTAAATAAAATTGATCATTTTAATAATCACATAAAATGCTAAAGTTAAATATAACATAAACAGAATTAACTTTATTTTCAGAACTAGGTTTTGTGTTGTAAAAGAAAAGGGACCATTTTGTGTCTCTGCAGTCATCAAGTAGTCTTCTATAAAATCAGCCCATTCAATGTCTATCTTATGAAGAAAAATTACCAGTATAGACAAAATACATGTATAGATATGTGTATAGATCTATTAGTGATGGATTTATGAAAATTTAATCTTTCTTTGTTGATTTATTTGGTCAATATGGATGTTTTGCTAGTTTATTTTCCTGTTGGTAAAGTTTGATTGGTGTAGGGCAGGGGTGACCAATTAAAAATCAGAATAAGGAAAATCATCAACCAGTAAAGGTCCGGAGACATTTTTAATTATAATCTGTTACTTTAAACAGCATTTAACACACTGGAAAAAATGGAAATCTATTTTTTCTTAAAATAAGTGCATTTTTTCGTGAAATTAGGAGGTAAGTGTTACACGTTTGCCAATGGAACAAGACAATTTAAATTTAAAATAAGAAAAAATAATTGCATTGTCTTCTTTCAAGTGCATATTATCTAGTTACCTTATTTTAAGAGTAAAAATACTCATTCCATTGGCAGATCATCTTATTTACCTGCTCAGATTAACAGTAAATACACTTGATTTAAGACATTTGTACTTATTTCTAGATGGTTTTTGCAGTGCACTGAAATAAAATGCAAGGGTTTATGCATCCATGTTATACATTTACTTTTTAAATAAAAAAAAAAAATAGAAAATTTTTCCATTTTAAAATAAAAGTGTTATTAGAGTAGAGAACAAAAATCGTTCATTTTGGTATATAGAAAATTCCTGATTCACATATTTTATAAAAGGGTGGGTCCGGACCGCGGTCCGTTAATCCGTGACCTCTGGTATAGACTGACCCTAAACTAGTCTTGGCACCTAAATGTTTTCATTCTATATTTAGAGCATTTGTGCTCCAACCTCAGCAGGTTATTCCAGAAAATGACACATTTTCAACAGCTGAAAAGGTTTAATCCAAACAACCTGCTACTGAGCATAATTGTTTTCCAGAGAAGTTTGTTGTCGTAATTCTGGTCAGGGTAGCGGCTTCCAAGCTGAAACTAAAAAATCACGGATGCAGGAATTCACCTTCGCAGTCTGGATTGCCACTAACCCTGCTTTAAGAGGCCAGACCCAAGAAAGCCCTTAACACCACAAATGCTCCCTGGGTGCTGCAAGCTGCTCACTGCTCCCCAAAGAAAAGGTTAAATAAGACAATTTTTACCCAAATGAAAAATTGTTATGAGAAAATAAAG